GCTTGAACCTGCGGCCTCAGAGGTGAAAGGCAAGTGTGCTAACCACTTGGCCACCAAAGCCCCTTTTCTTCCTGGGAGCACAACCTGGAGACAAACATTTTCTGCAGACCAACAGAGTATTTTTGTGATAACTTTGCATGTGCATCAACATATAGTGTCCTAGCTGATCATGGTTTTAAATTCAAGGAATAATGTCTGTCAACCATATGTTGTAGTGCGGCCCCATATTGGTACATCATGGGCCTCGGGTTTCCTTCAAATTTTCAATAGCAAATCTTCAGTCAAACTAAATTCCTTGCTGCTGTTTAACATTTCCTGCGAGCAGTGCTCATGTGCTCGCCTATTTTTTCCAGCCCTGACAGTGACCATCGCCCCGAGGGTGGGAATTTGACGTCACCTCAGTGAAAAATGTCAAATGCCCCTGGGTTCACCCGTCCTCCCACCCTGGGATTTAACATTGACAGGTGCATAATTGTATCATGTAGATGTGTCCTTAAAATGCTTTCACAATTCACAGATCCTTACTTGGTTACCCCATAATCAATGCCAATGGTTGCTAGGTACTTGTTGACAAATCTCTTTTCACAATATCGTTTGATAATGCAGCTCTAAAACATCAAAATATTCAACACTATCACAACAAAAAAAACACACTAAGAACTTCGACAAAACACAGCATTCAATAATCATTTCAATACCTTGCCAACTTCAGCATCGCCCATGCTGACAATTTTTATCCTAGTCGATTTCTTGCGATTGTTTTGTTGCTCCATCAGTACACAACACACACGCTCAACCCTCGCCAAAAGGATTGTTTATACAGTTCTTTATCAGGGTATAATTTGCAGAGCAAATATGATCCATTTTAAGACGGTTTCCCTTCGAAATTTGCCGAAATCTTTATTCAAAACTGGATCCAAAATCTCTTCATATTTTCAAATTTCACTGTTGCCACAGATGAGGTAGATACAGATGTGAATCTCACGGCAAATTATGTCACACCGATTAAATAAACTTTAAAATTGTATTAATTCACTATTTTATTAAATTTTGATAATGCAGAGAAATAAAACTATACATATTATAGAAGTATTAATGTTTTTTTATGCCAGAGTTATGTTTTGAGGAATTTATATCATTCGCTGTTTTGTTATTATACATGAGCATCTGAAATTCCCAGCAAGTGTATTTCACGATTTTAATAAGGAATAGATAGGGAAAAAAAACAAACTTTTGCTAAATAAAATGTTATGTTATCACTTTTAATAAAAAGAAATCAATAAAAGTGATCGCTTACCGATACTCTTGAAGAATTAATTCCAAAAATAGCCGTCGGTAGCGTAGATTTTTAAAAAAAAACAATTTTTCGTCTTTCGAACGGCGTTTTCCTATCTCTTTCCTTATTAAATTTCAGAACGACACTTGCCAGCGCTCGCCGGAAGTGAGAATTCCGTGTGACACAAAACAATCAGCAATTTGACGGAAGATTCACATCTGTATCTACCTCATCTGTGCTGTTGCCTTCGCTACACCCGCGTTTAAAGTTGGGAGAATGGGTACTAACGTTACAAAAATTACCGTCGTTTGCGTCTATAGGTGAACATTAGCAGTGGAATTGATGATTATATGTCAATGACATGCAGTCACGGAATATATTAGCATAATTATAATTATCCTACATAGTAGTCATTTGTAATACGCTGCATGTGTAGTTCTAGAGGGTGTATAACAAAAAACGCAACCATGGAATTTCCTAAGAAATCCACTTTGCCATAGGCGTACGGGACTGGTGCTTTCCAGGGGGGCAGTTGAAAGTTTGCCCGAATTTTTATGTAGGATTGTGATGAAATTATCTGAATTTAACCTATTTTCTGAAATTATCTGAATTGCAAATTTCGCAAGGCTATATTATCCGCATTTTACAACATTTCGCAACGAAACTTTGGAATATTACTAATTTTGTGATGCTCTTTCAAGCTGTCATGAAATTTTTGTCTAGACTTGTTTAGATCAAAACTTAGTCTATATGCAAATGGCCATTGAAATCGCATTGCTAATAGATCATATTATGATATTAGCCTACATCTGTCAAGGCCCTTGATAAGTTAACTGTTGTTGTACTGTACTTGCAAAATTAAAACTTATTTTAATAAGTCAGTTTTAAAAAGTGTCATTAAATAAATACATAAATTTTGCTTTATGCACTCGCGTGTGCAGTAATTTTGACAGTTGGACTATTTTAAATTCCCAGGAACCTAAAATCTTATGCCCTTACAACAGTGTCGATTTCTTGGGCAATTCCGAGGTTGCGCTTTTTTTATACACCCTGTATAGTCCCAAATATCAAGATTTTCTTGTTTGAATTAGACTTAACATAACAAGGATAAGTTGGAAAAGAGCGCTATGTCTCTCTATAACCAACTGAGCTACAGAGAGACAGGATAGTTATCAAGCATTAACTACAGTTTTATGGGTGAATATCAAGATCAGTTTTTCGTAACTTCGCTTGGCCGGATTAGGTCTAAAAATGCATATAAATTCGCGTTCGAATATGTACCATTTAATGTCTCGAAGACGCTCCTGCTTAGGATATCTCGCAAACGTAACCCTCCAACTCATTGCTACTTTCTTAACAACGATCCGGTTAAGAGCATAGCTAACCAAGTAGACTTGGGTGTTGTTATCAGCAATGACCTAAAGTGGTCCCCTCACATCGCCAGCTGCACTGCAAAAGCCAATCGTATGCTTGGTTTTCTTCGTAGGAATTGTACGCAAATGTCTGATATTCGCAGCCGTAGGCTTCTTTATCTTGCTCTCGTCCGATCTCATCTGTCATATGGTAGTGAGATTTGGGCACCTCAAGGATCGTCACGTGATTTTGCGATCATCGAGGGTGTTCAAAGACGAGCTAGTAAATTTATCCTTCAGGATTATGAGTTGCCATATCCTGAACGCCTTAAAAAGCTTAATCTATTACCAATATCCTACTGGATGGAACTAAAGGATCTCGTCTTCTTTTTTAAATGTAAGCACGGTCTCTTCGACCTAGATATCTCCTCTTTCGTCACTTTTTCTTCAAACAGCTCGTCTCACACCCGTTCAAGTTCGGACAACTTTCTTCGTGTCAATCATTGCAGGACTTCTCTCTTTAGGAACTCTTTTTTCAACCGAATTGTCTTTCTCTGGAATAATCTCTCTCCCACCATTCGTAATAGTTCATCCGTTTCCTCCTTTAAAAACAGACTAACTGTTCATTACTCTTCCCTACTTCATTCATCTTTCGATGTGAACAGAATGCGCACTTGGAAAACCTTCTGTTCTAAGTGTCGCTCTTTCAACTTAAGCTGTTGTTCGTAATTCGTCATGTTTTCTGTAAATTTTATATTTGTTATCGTCTTTGATTTATGTTTGTTATAGTTTGTTTTCATTAAGGTTGGTCTTCATATGGGGCTATTCATGTCCTGTTGACCATACCTTCAACCATATTATGTAGTTTTTTAGTCTATTTTATGTATGGTTGTAAAGTTAATAAATATATATATATATATATATATATATATATATATATATATATATATATATATATATATATATATATATATATATATATATATATATTAAATTAATGTTGATATTAAATTCTTTATGAAATATGCTGCCAGTAGCTTTGCACATCTGCAATGTCAATTGATGTTTCCAGACATGATGTTATATAGGTTAGGATTATCATGTTATAGTTATCTTCATATAGTCTAGGACCTGTATATGAGTTTGTATGCGATTCATTTAGGACAGGTAATCTCAACTGTTTTAGGGTAAAATGACCATGGCGGTCAACATGGCATATGTGCCAAAACCTGAATCCGGGACGAAAGTCCTGAAAATGACCCCGCCCTGAAACGGCAGTGCCGACATAGCTCTAACTTCCGAAAAGCAAAAGCGACAGCCTTTCTGAAGTGCTTATAGTGTTTAGAAGGGTGCTTTAAGGGGTGGTTATTGGAAGGAAAAATTTGTGTAAGTATAATATTTTACAAGAAAATGACCATTTATCACCCCAGGTAAATTGCTGATTATGCAGAAAATAACTAATATACATGGCAGAAATTAAATATCCTTATTTCCTAAAAAAAATTACCATGGGATGAAAAACTATGCTTAATTTAATATAATTATTGTAGTTTTCACAAGGATAGTCACTGTTTTCTATAAATATAATATATTTTATTTCACTTACCCCCCACGAGAACACGATTTCATCCATATTTTGCCGCCTTGTTTGCTTTATATCGCCGTGTCTTGCAATTAACATCCAGTTGTTGTACTTTTACATAATAGCAAATGGCTAAAGAAGATTTCAACCAAGTTTCGGCACGTTTTGGAGCAGTGCAGTGTATTTTATCTTCGATATTGTGTCCTTCGATATTTCGTCCAATATGCCGCCATTTTAATGGCTCGCCGTTTCTCTACCCGATAAATGCCACTTCTTCGTCTTCATATGTATTTAGATTACAGTATCCAAGAGTACTTCATTGTAGAATAGTCCGAATCGAAAAATTGAAAACATTACTTGCAGTTGGAAGGAAAAAATCTCCCATAACAAATTCAGGATAGGAATAAAAACAAATCATCTGAAAGTCACGCATGCGTGTACAAGAAACACTGCAACACCAAAACACTAACCGTAAAACTGACCGAAGACAGTTTTATTTCTGAATTTTAATTAACTTGATATTTTGATATTTTGTTTTATTCATTAAAAATTTATACTAAAACAATTATTCGCCTCAGGCTCAGTGATTACGATGAATATATTCACCGGTAATCACTTCGTCTTCGGCAAATAATTATTAATTATTATTTATTTAAAAGAGACTGTGAAATCGTCATATCAACTCAATCAGCCAACTAAGTATTCAGTTTTTACATAATATTCACAGGAGTGACGTCATAACGTTGGGTATGAAAAATATATTCAACGTTATGACGTCATGCTGTCGAAATACAAAATGTATGTAAATACTAAATACAGTATGAGGTTAGCCTTCAATATTTTACCACTTTTAGCCTCTTTTTCAAAAGTAGGAAAGCATCTAAAAACCGAAAAAAAGGGTTAGCCTTTATTTCTTGCCAATTTTAGCTCGTTTTTCAGTAAGATGAAAAAGGTGGCGAAAACTGGAAAACAGTTAATGGGCTAGCCTTTGCGTTTTCGCTATTTTTAGCCCCTTTTTCAAAAATTGTCCTTGCGACTGTCAGTAAGGGATATATGTATTTGGTGATGCAATTGCAAATTCCATAATATGTATTTCCATAATATTTTTATCGCGCGGAGGTTACGACTTTAAATTCATTCAAAAGTTACTTACGAAATAGCTAAATGAATGAAAGAACAGAATTTAGTTTTGCGTGTGAAATAATTTGTATTTGAGAAAATTTGAAGTAGTATATAATCTGGAAAAGTTTAAAGAGGCTGTTCTGCTTATGCACGTGTTTTGTTTACATTTTTTGTTTCAAACAATAGATAATTTAATTAAAATTCCGATCTGTGTACATTTTTTGTTTGAAACGTACAATGGATAATTTAATTAAAATTTCGATCTGTGGACTCACAGATCAGAATTAATTTTAATTAGATTGTCTATTGTATGAAACAAAAAAAATGTAAACAAAACACGCGCATGAGCAGAACGGACTTGATAGCCTTATACAAAACTTTTCCATATGTACACTCGATATACTTTTTAAAAATGAAAAATTCACGATTTAGATCAGTAGTTTTGGCCAATTATTATTTGTTGAAAAACAAAAAGTACCTGATTGATGCACAACAACATATAAAGGGCTCGAATTTTCCACATTACGCAAGCGGGGCCGTCGCTATAGGGTGTATGTGTGGGGTGTGAAACCCAACTGAAAACATCTTGTCGGCAAAATAACGGATTTATCGGCAAATTGTTTTCGTAGTTATCGAAAATATTTGAGTGGCTTGGATTGAAAAGTTATAGTAAGTTATAGAAAAAATTTTGATAAATTGATGAAAATATTAGCGAACAATTTAACAAATTGCAGTACATAATTTGAAAAGGTAGCAAAAAATAGTATGTGCGGAAAATTTTTACCCCCTCCCCACTATAATCACATTTACATGATTTGAAAAATTTTGGGTCAGTAGCATTTTTTTTAAATTGTAAAAAATTGAGTATACTTAATTTAAAAGAAATCATTTTATGCAATAAAGTAATAAAATTTGGGGGTCACCCATGTCGTTTAAGTGTCAAATTACTTTAAAGCGAAATCAACCGCCATTTTGAAACGTCATTGTTGCCTAGCAATGGCAGTTTCGTAACTATCGTGAAAACATTCAAACCCTTTAGATGTTGTTTTACATCACTGAGATGTAAAAGATTTTATTTCTCAACAAGTAAAATTCTCCAAAAATACGAATCCATAAATCGTGAATTTTTCATTTTTAAAAAACCTATATCG